CCAAGATCTTGGTTTCTACTAGCACTCTTCAATTGAAACAAAAATAAAACTAAACAAGAAACCCAAGGCTCCTTGAAGAAATTGTTTAGTGTATGACAGGGTCAGAAAATACCCAAGATGAACCTGGGGCATCTTCTAGGATTGCAAAGCAAGTGAAGGGGCATTAGAAACAGTGGTTCTGGGGGTTAGGCAGCAAATACATGTCTGTGAGCCCACTGCCCATGGTGCACAGGCACCACACCGTGTCTTCTCTACCTCTGGCTCTGGCTGAGGGCACAGAATCTGTTAGAAGCCCTGGGAACAAATACCAGCTCTGCTGCCTCTTTCCGAAGAAACATATATCTTACATTTCAGTTTAAAACAATGGCCCAGAATTTTCCAAAATTAATGAGATACACCAAGTCCCAGATGTGGGAAACTGAGAGAGCAACAAACAGGATAAATACCCAAACTACACTGAGGCACATATCGAACTTCAGAAAAGCAAAGACAAAGACAGAATCTTTAAACAAGCCAGAGGAAAACAAAGACCCTTTTCTACAGAAGAAAAGATAAGAATTCCAGCAGACTTCTCATCAGAAATCATGCAGGCAAGACAGTGAAATATTTAAACTGTTGAAAGAAAATCCTGTATATTATCCTTCAAAAGTGATGGAGAAATAAAGACTTCCTTAGATAATGTAGATCAAAAACTTAGGTCCACATAAAAAGTAAGAATATTAGAGTAGGAATAAATAAAGGTAAAACGAGGTATTTATTTTTATCATCCTTAATCTAACAGGTAACGGTCTGTACAAAATAGCACTAGCAACAATGTGTGTGATGCTCATGGCTTATGCATAAGTGGATGACAGCAAGGCTATGAAGGGTGGGAAGGAGGAACTAGGACTGTTTTATTATTAGAAGGTATCTCTACAACTCATGCAGCAGTTTAGTGTTCTTTGAAAGTACACCTGAATTAGTTGTAAATGTATATTACAAACTCTAGTACAACCATTAAAAAAGATTTAAAAGGTATACTGATATGCTAAGAAAGGCAAAAAATAGAATCATGTAAAATGATCATCTAAAACCACATAAGGGAGGTAAGTGTGGACGACAAAACTAGGAACCAAAAATAAGGATAAAAAAACAGAAAACATAACAGATATGGTAATACAATATAATACTAGCTACTTTAAATGCTTTTAAATATATCAACAAAAATAGAATACAATGGTAGAAATATGTAAGACTTATGTTTCACTTTAAATAAAAGACATGTGTATCAAAAATAAAAAAAAAATTAACAGGCAGGGTAATGCATGCCTGTAATCTCAGCACTTGGAAGGCTGAGGCAAGAGGATGAGTTTCAAACCAGACTGGGTTACACAGTGAGATCCTATCTCAAAAAGAAAAAAAAGTAAAACAAACAAACCTAAGAGTTTGGAGGAAGACATTCAGGTTAGCACTACTAAAAGAAAGCAGGAAGAGAGCCTGGTCATCTGAAGCTGGGCACTATGGCTCTGGCTCTAAGGAACGCTGTCCCTTCCAGGCTCCTTTAAAATCCCTCCTGGGCATCAGCCCTCTCAGTGCTGGGGTTCAGTCATCCTAACTGAGTGTACCCCTGTTGCTTTCTCGCCACATATTCCTTCCAACCTCCAGGCTCTTGACCACATCTTTCTGACATGGAGCCTCACCACATTAGCTCCAAACAGCCAGGTTAGAAGTAGAAAGTCCACCTGGACAAGGACTGAGACACATTGCATACAGTCTGCCACCCTGAAGACTTGTGAAGAACACAGCACTCATCACTGCCTCCAGGCTACAAAAAGCTGTAAGAAAGTCCAGAGAACAGCAGGGAAGGAAGGGGCTAGGGGAGCTGAGCAGGAAAAGGGTACAGGAAGAAGGAAGCAAGGTCCAGTGACCACTAGTGGAAGGTAATACGCACTCAGCTGCAGGCTTTCTCTTATGGCCCTATCCCCCAGTATGATGGCATTTGGGGATGAGGCCTTTGGGTGGTAATGAGGTTTACATAGGCTCTGATGGTGGGTCATCCTTATGGGGTCAATGTCCTTGTAAGGGACATCAGTGAGCTGACTCATGAAGCTCTCTCTACCATGTGAAGACACAGTAAAAAGCCCACAAGCCAGGAAGAGGGGTTCTGTGCTTTCAGAATGGTTCATCACCTCTAAAACTCATGTTGAAGTATAACCCCCACCGTGAGGGATTTAGAGAGTGGAAATGTAAACTATGGTGTTCAGAGGCAGAGCCTTTGGGAGGTGATTACCATGAGATAAAGTCACTGGCTGGGTCTCCATGATTGAATACTAGTGACTTCATAAGAAGCACAGGGATCAGGATGCATGCATGCAAACATGCACACACAGATGTGCAGACACACACAGATGCAGATAGAGAGACAGACAGACACATACACACATGTGCTCCGTGTCTCTGGCCATGTGATACATCTGGGTTTCTGCAGGAAGAAGACCATCACCAGATGCAGCCCCTCAGCTTTGAACAAAAATTGGAAACCCCAGTAAGCCTCTTTTTAAAATAGCTTAATCAGTGTTATGGCTTGTCTCTAAATGTCTCTCCAAAGACTCATGTAATCAAAGGTGAGGCTTTTTCAGAGGTGGCTGAATTTAGAGTATGATGCTGGGATTAAGAGTGTGTGATTACTAAATCAGTCCACTGATTAGTTTGGCACTGTTCTAATCCTAGTAGTCTACACAGAATATAAAAAGGGGAAGAAAGAAGCTGCTAAGGTTGCTTGTTGGTTCCCTCGCTTGCTTTGCTACCTTCTGCCTACCATGAACTGTTTCTCCTCTGTGATGCTCATCTGTCATGCCACCTTCCCTTGGAGTCAGCTGACTATGGACTAAACCTTCTACAAACTGTGAACCAAAGACACCATTTCTCCCTTAACTTTGGGTGTTAGGCATTTTGTCTCAGCAATGAGAAAAATAAGTATGAGAACCAGTCTATGGCATTGTATTTACAACAGAAAGCAGGCTAAGTGCCCTCACCAGAACTTGACCGTGCTGGTGCCCTAAACTTGGACTTCCTGTGTCCAGACTGTGAGAAGATAGTTTTCTGCTGTGGAACTACCCTTTCTATGGTATTTTGTTAGGTCAGTGGGCATTTAAAATATCTTATTTAATTTCCAAATTATTGCATTTGTTTTATAAGTGTTTAAACTGGGATTCAACTGTCTAATAACCACAAAGGCAATGCTTTTACTTCAACAATATTTCCTCTTACAAAGGTCAAGGAGTCTATATAACTTGCTCTGGTTCTGACTCACAGTAACTACATGTTTTTGGTGAGTTCCTAATCTTTTCTGACTAAATTTGGTCTCCTGACATTAAAATCCTGAAACAGGATGCTCTCCAAATTGCTTCTGCTGCACAGAAGTTACTTAAAATATATGAAATGGAAAAATACAGATTACTTTTATTTCATGAACCTGGGGGTTGATGCTTGGACCTTGGGCATATAATACAAGTCCTCTACCACTGAGCTACATCACCAGCCCTGAGATTATCTGGAACCCAGAAAGATTTTATATTCCTGCTCGTTCTACCATCATATAAATAGAAAAGCAGAATGAAGTCTAAATAAACTATTCTGACCAGATCTACTGAATCATGTGCAGTGACCAATGCTGCATGTGTCATTACTGGATATCCTGGCATCATCATGAGACTGTTCAGCCCACTGATCTCAACAGCACCCGTTTTCAGTTATTCAGTATTCCTGCTGTACTAAGAGTACGTCTACTATGTATAAATGTGTGGGAGATCAGATAGAAAGACTGAGGCCTAATTTGCCTCCTCTGTGAACACTAAAGAGAAAGGCAGCATGCAAGTGTGCTGACATGCTGCAGGAAAAAAGATAACATAGCTAGATCCTGTTTTTTACTTGGAGTGCTGTGGATGGTAGGAGGCAGGTGAATCCTGTGTTACTGTAATTGCCTGTACCTGTGTCTGAGTGAATAAAGGCAGGATGAGCCAGTTACTCAGGGCTCATCTCTTTGATCAAAGGGAGAAAAAGGCCCCTGACCACCACATTTTAACCTAATTCTGTGTCTCTTTGTTTTGTATCTTCATCATTCTTTGGTTAGGTACAGCTTGTAGGCTGGCTCCTACATAAATGCAAGCCAAAAACTCTTCTTGGAAATCTCCACATTAGAAAAAAAAAAAAAAAGGTTTGCAAGTAGTACAAAAAAGTAAGTGAGGTCATTAAAAGAGAAAGCATATAATTTCCCATTAAAAATAATCTTTAGAGAGCTATGGCAAAGTCTGTATGTCATTACAACCTGTTGAAGACTATCTGTTATGGTTTATATCTGGATGACCCCCAAAGCCTCAAGTGCTTATAGTGGGGGCTTTGTGGAGGTGACTGGATCATGCAGGTGTGATGCTCAGCAGTGGATTAGTCCACTAATAAGTTCATAGCTAAATGTGATGTTGGGAGTTGCAGTGTGGCAAGAGGAGGTGGGGCACTGAGGGCATGGCTGGGAAGAGTCTGTCTCCTTCCTCCCTTGATCACTCTGCTTGTCTGTCACGCAATGAGCAACCCTCCCCTGCCAAGCCACCTGGCCTTGCTGCCCTGCCCTGGAGCCAGCTGACTATGGTCTGGAACCTCTATAAACTGTGAGCCCAAATAAACCACTCCTCCTTTAATTTGTGGGAGTCAGGTATTGTGTCCCAGCGACAAAGAAAGTAATTAAGACACTATTTAAAAATATTACTTCCACCATTAACATGATGCCAGAGATTTGCTTCAAAAGAATCTGGGAGAAGGGGATCAAGGTGGGAAGAGCACGAAGCAGACAGAAGACAGTTCATGCGGAGATAACTGTTGAAGATGAGTGAGGGGCATTTGGAGGTCATCATCCTACTCTTTCAAACTGTTACATCTTTGAAATTTTATCCATTAAAAATTTACAAAATTATATTTTCTTGGTGAACAGATTTAACCATATTCGAATAACAAAGAAAGACTAGTACCTTCCAGTCTTTGAATTTTTGCCTTTACAGAAATAACCGCTTCAAAGGGTGAAACTCTCAGCTCAAAACATGTTCCGGTCAGTGTCTCAATGAAGAGCTCCATAGTATCATAGAAAAGAAGTTTGTAGTCAAATGGTCCCAGTCCCATGTTATCTTCATTGAAGAACGGAGGCTCTTTCCTGTTATCCATCACTTTGACTTCTCTAATTCCTCTGGAATATGTTGTAGGCAACTGTATTCCAGTTGTACCTGAATCAGCTTTGAACATTGGTAATATATATCGTCGTTCATGTTTTGATTTTTGTGTCTAAGAAACAAGAAAAAAATTGAATAAGCCTATCTTAAAATCTCATTCTTCTACACATAATTCTGAATAACTCTGGCCCATATCAATCTTCCAGAAAAGAGAGTCTCTGAATTCACTTAGTGTCTTTAGTCATGTCTAATCCTAAACTTTTCATGCTTGATTCTAAAATCACTCTCCCAGACCGTAAAATTGTTAAAAATTAGTATATTTTGACACTTCAATGTACTGCACAAATGCTCAGCGCAATTACTAATATAAAGTACATGGTCAATAAATATTTTTGTTGTTAATATATTTAAACAAACTCAACACATCAGTATAGCTTTTAAGAAATATATTTTTCCAAAATAAATAAATTATGCATTCTAAGCCATACAAAGCACAAATGTACAGCCACCGTACATGAGAATCAAACTGAATAGAAGAAATAGCAACCATCTTAACGGGTTCCTTAGAAACAAGACTCATTAAATAACCAATGAACATTTGGATTTCAGAGGATATATATCATTCTACCATTAAAGAAGAATACTGATAATAGATATTAGACAATCTCTACTCACAAATATATAGTGGCTAATAACTATGCAAGACAAACAACAAACAGAACTTTGTATTAAGTTCTGATGCAGTTTAAGTTAAGATTAAGTTTATATCACTGATATAAAGTCTAAAACTCACTAGTTTTTACTGTACTTACCGAGTGTGGCAATTGTCAATTAATCTTTTTTGTTATATTTTGAGGCTGTGGCTGTGCTGTGGATGGAACCCAGGGCCTTACACATGCTAGGCATACACTCTACCTCTAAGGTAAATCCCCAGATCCTTATTATTTTTAGAAAATTTTCATCACCCCCAAAGGAGCCCTATACCTGTACCCACTACTCCTCATTCTGACCCTTGGCCAAAGGCAACCACTAAGGGTACTCTCTATATAATTTGTCTATTGTTGACATGTCCCATAAATAAAATTATGCAATATATGATGTTTTGTGACTGGCATTTTTCACTGAACACAATGTTTTCAATGTTCATCCATGCTTAGGATGCATCAGCATTTCATTCTGTTTCACTGTTGGATAAGTCCCTTTCAGCATATATCTCATTTTTTTTAGTCATCAGGTGGACATTTTTTTTTTTTCCAATTTGTGGTTGTTATTAATAATACTATGCAGGACAGTCAATGACAAGCTTTTTCTCTTCAAAGAGAAAGCTTTCCTTTTTCTTTGACATATATCTAGGAATGTATTTGCTGGGTTATAGAATAACTCTCTTTAGCAATTTGTAGAACTATCCAAGTTTTCTGAAGCAGACAGAACTATTTTACAGTCCCACCAACAGGGTGCCCGTCAACAATTTCTCTGTATCTTTGCCAATATTTTTTATAGTCTTTTTGATTAATGCTATCCTGGGTGCAGTGTAGTGTGCTGTGGCAGTGATATGCATTTCTGTAAGGACTAATGATTTGGAATATCTTTTTACATAATTGTTGGCCATTTGTATAACTTCTGTGAGGAAATGTCTATACAGGTCCTTTGCTTATCCTCTTTTTTTTTTAATCATTGAGTTTTAAAAGTTTTATTAAATATTTTAGAAAGAAAGTCAGGAGTAGTAGCATATGTCTGCAATCCCAGCACTTGAGAGGCTGAGGCAGGGAGGCCAGCCTGGGTCACATGTTAAGTTCCAGGTGAGTATGAACTACATAGTGAGAACTTGTCTCAAAAAACAAAACTAGAACCAACCAAACAAAAAACTAGATACAAAGCCCTTTATCAGATATACAATTAGCAAATATTTTCTCTCATTTTGAGAGTTGCTTTTTAACTCTTTTATTTTTTCAAACTAATAATCCATTTTGATATAGTCTCATTTGGCTGTCTGTTCTTTTGTTAATACATTTTATAGTCTTGGTCTAACCCGAGGTAATAGATTTACTCATATATGTCTTTTCTAAGAATTGTACAGTTTCAGCACTTATATTTATGTCTAGTATTCATTCTGAATTCATTCTGAATTAATATTTGTGTATAGTGTGAGGCAGGGGCCTTGTGATATGTTTATGGTCAGCTTGACTGGTTAAAAGATGACTAGGAGATTAGTAAAGCATTCTTTTGCCTGTGTCTGTTTTCAGAGATGTTTGGTGTGCAGACCAGCAAACTGAGGCAGAAACACCTTCTCTGACTGTGGGTGGCACCATCCAAGAGGCCTATGACCTGGAAGGAAGGAAAGGGGGAATGCGCAGAAAGCTGGTCTATGTGAGCCAGCTTGATTCAGCTTGAGTGGTTGCCACTGCCTGTGGACGTCGAACCCCAGCCTTTTCAGCCTTTCAATGACTCACTGACTCTCCAGGGAGATTTCAGGCCTTCAAACTTGGACTGAGATTGTATCCTCAATCCCTCTTTTTCTGACACTTTAGCCTCTTGGACTGATCAGATCCTAAATGCTTTGGCATGCAGGTGTCTATTGTAGGCTACACCCCAGCTCTGACCTATAAGGTTCCGGGTAAGCCTATCTAACAAATACCCTTGCAAATTATATAGTTTCTTTCTCCCCCATCATTGGCTGGTGTCACTACTCCTTTCTGAACATACACATGGCCCCTATGTGTACTGTTATATGATGCTCAGCTGCTGGGGTGACTTGATTCACATGCCAACAGAGAGGGTTCTGTGTGCCTGCTGTGACACATGTCATATGTTTGCCACTACTGCTCTAGAGAATCCTAACCAATACAGGTCCATATTTTGAGTGCTGATAACCAGTTGTTTCAGTATCACATGCTGGAAAGACTATTCTATCATTATATTGGAACCATGGTAGGAAACCAACTGAGTGTAAATGTGAAGGCCTATTTTTAGATTCTTAATTCTACTCCATAACTTCTTGTGACTATCACTTTGTTTTGAGTACTGCAACTATTAAGTTGCAAAAAAAAAAAAAAAAAAAAAAAAAAAGAAATATGAGTTCTCCAATTTGTTCTTCTCTTTCCATATTGTTGGCTATTCTGAATCCCTTCAATTTCCATCTGTATTTTGGCACGAGTCTGCCAATTTTGCAGAAATACCAGCTGAGATTTTGGCAGGGACAGTTTTGAATCTGTAGATGAGTATTGTTGGAGACTACTGACATCCTGACAATATGATCTTCTAATTCATGAACATGCAATATCGCATCATTAATCTTTTCTCTTTAAAACATGTTTTATCGAGTTTATAGTATAAATTTTGCACTCCTTTAAGTTTATTCCAAAGTAATTCTTTTTATACTGTTACAAGTGGAATTGTTATTCCAATTATTTTCAGATTGTTCACAGTATTGTGTAGGGATATAGCTGATTACAATGTACTGTATTAGTCATATTCACTGCAAGTGTGAACTGTTTCATTCTAATGTTTTTTTAAGTGGGTTCCTTAGGATTTTCTATACAAAAGATCATATTATCTGCAAATACAATTTCCCTTCTTCTTTTCTCCTCCACATGCCCTGTATTTCCTTTTCTTGCTTAATTGCTCTGCTTAGAACTTACAATATAAAGCTGACTAGAAGTGATATGAGTATATACATAGATCTCTGTCTTATTCCTGATTGTAGGAGGAAAGCACTGTCTCATCACCAGATCTGATGTTAGCTATGGGGTTTGCACTGATAACCTTTGTAAGGTTGAGGAGTTTCCGTTCTGATCTTGTCTATGTATTTTGTTTGTTTTTTTAAACCATGAAAAGATATAGATTTTATGAAATGTTTTGTGTCTATTTAAATGATTATGCAGCTTTTATTATTTCTGTTATGATGTACTAGTACTAATATGGTACATTATATTGATTGATATTTGTTGAATCAAACTTGCATCCCTGAAATAATTCCCATTTGTGCACAGAAGACTTTATATAAGTTGATGGATTTGGGTCGGCAGTATTTGAAGACTGGTGTGTCTATAAGAAATGGTATTAGCTGTGGCACACGCCTGTAATCCCAGGCGTGGTAGGAGGAGCATTGGAGACCCTGTCTCAAAAAGACAAAGTAGAAAGAAAGAAAGAAAGAAAGAAAGAAAGAAAGAAAGAAAGAAAGAAAGAAAGAAAGAAAAAAGAAAAAGAGAGAAAAGGAAGAAATCGTAGTCTGTAGTTTCTGTTCATCTTTGGTTTTGCTATCAGAGTAACACTGGCCTCTAGAGGGAGTTGGGAGGTGTTCCCTGAAGATGAGGAAACTTTTGCATGTACTTAAAGATGGGTAAAAACCTCAGAGTGGGGTTGGTCTATCACTAAGTGTTATGGTTTGTGTCTGGATGTTCCCCTAAAGCCTCATGCCGTCACGGCAGAGGGGCAACAGTTCATGGTGGTGGAAGACAGCAAAAGCAACAAGAAAGAGGAGTGGAGGGACAAGCCTCTTTCTGTACATTGTATGCAGGGTATCTCCTCTAGGGCTGGTGTAGCACTCACACCCTTAAGCCTAGCATTGGACCATGAATCAACACAAACTCTAGATTTGGCCACCTCCAAAAACTCACCCCCCAACAACTGCATGAGGCTTTGGAGGGACATGTAGACACACACCATAACACTGTAAGCAAGCCTAGGTGAACAGAAAGTGAACACTATGGAAGTGTAAGAGTCAAAAATAAATGAGGGTTATACATAAATTTAAAATATTTTTTTCTTCCAAGGATGAGATGTCACTATAATTTTTATAGAAATTTATTTAAAGATTTGTATTTTTAAAAGACTGTGACTTGGTTAATTTTCACCTCTCTGAAAGCACGTGATTCCACAGGCATCTGTGATGTGGACACTTCAAAGACATTTGAAACCTAACATGTCCAAAGTGAGTCATCTTCCTCACAAACATCCTGCTTGTCTACAGTTCTTACTTTGTTAGAGGTATCACCACTCTTCCAATTACTCAAGCCAGAAATCTAGGAATCATTTTGGATTTCCTCCCATCTTTACAGCATCTAGAAGTAACAAATTTTATTTCTATATTCTGTCGCCCTCTGCAGTCACTTT